ACTTCCTGTGGCTGGTGCACTCCACTCTCAGATTCTCTCCCCGTGATTCCTTTGTATCATTAATTTATCAACTCAGAGGTCTTGCCTGACCATCCACTCGCACCCTCGGCCCCCACATTCTGTTTCATGGTCTTCATAGTATCATCTACTATCCAGGGTGATCAGTGTGTTTATTGCTCACCTCTTATACTAGAATGAGTGTCATGAGGGCAGGAATGTTGTCTGGCTTGTTCACTCTTCTATCTCCAGTGCTTACAATAGTGCCTAGTGCACAGTAGGGCCTCAACAGTTATTTGTTAAATGAATGAATGTGGTGTGGAAGTGGTGCTCTACAGTACAGGGTCCAGCTGTCTGCTGGACTGAGCATTTAGTCCATTGAATTATAGCTAGTTGTTGTCCTGTCTGTCCTTCCTCATAGTATCATCTACTATCCAGGGTGATCAGTGTGTTCATTGCTCACCTCCTATACTAGAATGTGAGTGTCATGAGGGCAGGAATGTTGTCTGCCTTGTTCACTCTTCTATCTCCAGTGCTTATAATAGTGCCTAGTGCACAGTAGGGCCTCAACAGTTATTTGTTAAATGAATGAATGTGGTGTGGAAGTGGTGCTCTACAGTACAGGGTCCAGCTGTCTGCTGGACTGAGCATTTAGTCCATTGAATTATAGCTAGTTGTTGTCCTGTCTGTCCTTCCTCCATCCCCATACTAGCCCATGAGTCTTCCGGGTCAGGCATTTATAATGCTCCCTCTCCATATCTCCTGCACCCATCAACGTCCTGGCACTGAGATGAAACTCAAGGAACTTTGCTTTGTGAATGAATTTCCATGGACATAGCTTCTGAATAGGGTCTGGGTCTCCCAGTCAGTTTGGGTTGTGAATGATGCCAGGGAGCTGACTTACCTGTTCACACTCACCTCCCACCCACTTGTTCATCTCATCAGAGTAGAGAGGGCCCTGAGAAAACAACTAGTCCAGCTAATTTTACATACTAGGTAGCAAAATGGGAAAATGGTCATGATGATATGCTAAAGGAAGAATGCAGAAAAAATGATCTTTGCTTATTATCCCTTAATCATTCCACAAACATTTATTGAGCAACTACTATGTACCAGGCACCGCTGAATCACTGGGAATACAGCAGAGAACAAGACAGACACAGTCCTTGCCCACAGGGACTTCCAGTCTAGTGGGAGAAGACAGATATTAAACAAAGAAATAACAAAACCAGGTAATTACCTGTTATGGTCTGTGCTATACAGTAAATAAGCAGCATGGGATAGAGGGTGAATTTAGGTAGGATGGGCAGGGAAGGCTTCTCAGAGGAGGATGAAGAACTAGCCATGAACATAGGAGTTAGGAAAATAGGAACAGCTTATTTTGTGAGAGTAGAGAGCTTTCACAGACAATGGTTGGAAGGCTGGTAGCCTTCTCAGGCCATAAGGCAACTATAAAAATGGAAGTCACATGCCAAAACCAGAGAAATAGAAGGAGCCTAGGTTTCTGATGACTGCAGGGTGGCTATACCACACGAAACTCAGTGATATGCTAGGAAGCTTGCCCTCTGGAAAGAAAAAAAAAAACCTGATTTACAATGTTTGCAGGTTTCTGTAAGTGCTTCTGCCAAAGCCAGTTTCAAGCTATCAATGTGAGGTTACTGGACAGAGAGCTGGAAAGAGGTTTGCACAATCGGCTCTCAGGAACCGGTGCAAGCTGGCTCCAGTGCACCACTGTCTGGGGTCCTTCCCTACTGACTTGTTTTACATGGAAGAGAGATACACTCTCATCTGATTTCAGCTCCTTTAGTCAGGTCTCTATTACTAACAGCTGAAAGTCATTCCTGATGGAGTCCTGTGCACCTGAGTCGATGGAGCAGATGGATCTCATTTACCTAAGAGTGCAGAGTGACTGCTCCTCAGGCCCTCCCCGGCGGCTTTGGGTCTGTCCAGCTTAGGCCAAAGTCTGGCTGAGATGCAGATGTTTGAGGACATGGGCCAAGTGCTACAATCTTCCCCCTTGGTGGTCCTCATGGGTCCACAAAAGACCCAGCCACCCAGGCAGCTCTTCAGAGCCTCAGAGAAAACTGCCTGGGAGGTGCATTCTGTACATTGCTCAGGGCATCTGAGGAACTTGGACAAATTCTTTCCTGCTTTCAGGGCTGAATAAAAAGGACAGCAGGTCTGTGCCTTCCTCTTAGACCTTGGGAGCCAGAGAACACTCATTCATCCACTCCACAAACGTGTGCCGAGGCCTCCTTGGGCCCACATGGTACTGCGTCAGCAACAGGGAGAGGGATGAGGGACAAGTCCCAATCCATGATGCCTCAGGAAGGATGAGTCGGGGTGAGGGTGAGGGGGCGACGGGGACACAGACATTAACATCACGGTGAATGCCGGAAGTATTAGGGGACCCCAATCTGCTCCCCTTCTCATGTTCTCCATCTCAGTGAAGGGCACCCCGCCCCCCACTGTCAGGGAAGCCAAAAATCTAGGAGTCACTCTTGACACCGTCCACCCACCCATCTAATCAGTCTTCAGGTTTGCCCTGGAACTTGTTCTTTCCTCTCTGCACCCCTCCTCCTGGCCCTGGTTTCGTTTTTATTATTTCTCTTCTGGACTGTGGCCCCAGGCTCCTCCCTACGCCCGCACTCTCCAAGTGCCCCACACAGCAGCTAGAGTGATCGTTCTAAAGGACGGATGCGTCCACACTTCTCTCCCAACGTCTTCCGCAAGATTTCCACATCGTCTGGGAAGAAGGGCACAAAACCCGAGCATGGCATTTAAGGCTCTTCACCCAAATTTCTTCTCCAGCCTTATTTCTTGGTCAAGACCTGCACCGTCCAATACAGTAGCCATTAGCCACATGTGGCTACTTAAAATAAAATGAAAATGAAATAAAATTGAAAATTCTGTTCCTCAGTTACACTGCTTACTTATTTCAAGTGCTGGATAGTCACAAGTGACTAACAGGTACGATACCAGACAGCACAGTTGTACAACACTTCCATTATTCCAGAGTGCTGCTCTAGATGCACTAAGTGTCTTGTAGTGCTGTCCTCCAGGCTTTGCACCTGTTATTCCCTGTCTGGAATGCTCGCCCAAGTTTCGCTCCATGTGTTGGACTCATTCGCTCCAGATCAAATATCACCTCCACTGAGAATCTCTATATCAAATTCTCCAAACTGTCCTCAGATACTCCTCCACGTGCAGTGCCCTTCACTTGCACCACGAAAGTACACAGATACCTGTCAGTCTCCCCCATGAGACCGTGGGCTCTTGAAAGTAGAGACTGTGCCTGATATAGTTTCACATTCTCAGTACCTAGGATAGGGCCAGGCACAGTGACTTGGATAAGAGTTTGCAGAACAAATCTGGCCAGGGAAGAGGCTGGGCTGGGTCAGAGCTCACCTCTGAGAGGGCGGGAGGGGAGAGAGGGCCCCAAGCAGCCAGCTCTCCCCAGAAAGGCTACAGAGCCTAAAGGAACATCCAAACCCTGGAACCCACAGGGCAGGACTAGGAGGCAGCCTGAGCTCTGCCTCCCACCCCGGGGCCCCTGCGTCTCCTTTCGTGCCTGAGTTAGGAGGCTGGCTCTGCCACATACCCTAGCTGTGTGACCTTGAGCATGTACCCTAACTTCTCTGTGCCCCAGTCCCTCATCTGCAAAATGGGGATAATAATACCTTCTGGGGCTGGGAGGGTGAAATGAGATAATAGTGAAGTGTTGAGTTTCATAGGGCAGAGCTTGGCATACACCGAGTGCTCAAGAGATAGAGAGGTCATCATGTCCCAAGTTAGGTTTCTCAGTCACTTTTCCAAATCCTCAACCATCACTGTGTCCAGGCCTCTCAGGCTGTCAGAGAAGGAAGGAGCCCCAGGGACTACCTGGTCCAATCCTCTGGATTTCTAGAACAGGAAACTGAGGTCCAAGTAAAGGGACTGACTGGCCCACAGCTACACAGATTGACAGAGGAGAACCAACCGGATAATTTACTCCCAGCAGAGGTCAGATAGGAGGAAACAGGAAGCTACTGATAAACTCCTAAGTGACAGAGCTAACTGTGAGGGAGGACACTGGCGATACCAGAGCTCAGAACCAGAAGGGCTGGAGGTGGCGTGTGACTTGGGGGTTTGAATTTCACAGGCGTCATGTCACCTGATTCCCACAACAAACTCACGAGGTTAGTGTCTTATTG